TCCCCTGTTCCTTCACCTCTCTTTTCCATCCTACCTTTCTGTCATCACAGGTTTGGGTCTGTGACTCCTGATGGACAGTACCACTCACCTATCAAGAACAAGAACACAAGATTCAATGTGATGTTGGCAGGACTGACCCCTTCGAGGCTGGCTTTGACTTTCCAAGCGATGGCCTCCATGAAGGTAGGTAACTCTGATCTTTTTTTTTCACCTCACTGTTATTGTCTGTGTGTTCCAGGGGTAGATAACCATTCCAGGAGCTGAGCTTTTTGAGCCACAGTTGGTGTAACATGGCCAGGGTTTAAGCTAGGGTGTGCTGGTTGGCCACGCACAGGGACCATTTCTACAGTCTTCTTAAGACAGTCTCCTGTCCATCTGCATCCCAGATGTGTGCTGCTAATCATAGTGGGCGGAGCCTGGGCGCTGTGGCCACACAGCCACAGAAGATGACAAGGGGAGAATGGGGTGTTCAGATAAACACATCTGCTGGAAGGGCAGCTGAGAGCTGACTCACATGGGCCAAGGTTGACATATGTTGGTGGAGTTCCTTGGGGAGTGTTGATCCTTATGTGACTGTTTGGAGTGTGACATTCACCATTGTGGGCCAGACCTCCAGAAGCCATCTCTGCCTCCCCTTCCTCTCATCTCTGCCATATATGGTTTGGAAAGAAAAGCTGGGAGAAAGTTCTGGAAGGTCCTCCCCAAGGCTCCAACTGTTTGTTTCTCTGGGCTCTTTCTGTCTGTCTGCATGAGGGAAAAGCCTGCTTTAAGCTCCACTGAGTTTGGCAAAGCCGTAAGAAAAATTAAGATTCCCCAGGAATACATATCTGTGGCTTGAATCCAGCTTTTCCATCAAGAAGGAATAAATTTTATTCACCTGACTCTAGATGTGACATCAGCCCACGATCATCTGACTAGGATGAAAATCTTTCTTTACTTACTTCTGCCGGGTATGCCATTCCTCATGTGACCTGACCTGAGCTCCCTCTCACGGGCTCTTCTTTTTTCCGGGGGGGG